GTGCTGACAACTATATGATAGGGTGAAGTGAAATCAATGAACACGAATATGTGACTTGTTTAACGGAAGCGAAAGTGATTCTTTGAATGCATTTTCTTATTAATGCTTGCCAATATTTTTATTTCTTGAATAGTCGATAAAAACTTTTATTCAGTTTGCGTTTTGACAATATCTTTTTTTAAAAGTAACATACAGGTATTTGCGCATCATTAGAATGAGATTTTATACTATTCGTACAGTTTTTGTTTCTTTTTGGAAATGATTATATCAATAATATTTGTTGTCGGATGTCGATATAAGTCGAGTGATTGCTGTGCGTCATTGCACGTTTCTTTCGATCTAGTTAAGACACCAAAAATGTGTTTTCGTTAAGCGATTTTTTGTTTCGTTACTTTATTTGTATTAAATGATAGTTGATATTATCGGTGATGTTTATAAATGTTCATTCCGTATTGTTTTTCCAAATTGATTCTCGCATTTTCATTTCATTCTATTTTCACCTTATTAACTGCTGTCTCCAAGTTCGTTTTCGCTCTGTAGATCGGAAATTTTATTCAAGCAAAAGGATGTTCTGAAATCTCTCAAGTTGATCAATATTCTCTTTCTGTCAATATTTGTTGGATCTATTGAAATTTTCATTTCATTTGTATTTTTTCTTTGAGAGTTTCTCGACCAACTTCGTTTATTATCCATGCATCTGCTCTCAGATGTATATTATCCAGGTCGTCGTTTTTCGACAAACTCATTTCAATTTTTTGATTGTTCAGTTTAATGTGAATCGTATACTTACTCGAGTCATGTCATGCTCATCGAAAATGTCCCCAAAACGTTCACTGTCGATTCCCTCTTTCCAGTAGTCGTTGTGGGGTGCAGCGTTACGCTTGGAATACATACTGTGTATGTTCGCCGGTTATTGAACGGTTATACAACAAATTCATCTTTTCATCAGTTATAAATTCGAAATTTGTCTCAACGAACAGTTTTCCTTGAAAGCGTTTACATGATCGTTCCATTGTTATTGTTGTGATTCGTTCGAGTTATTTTCTAAATATGCAAATTAGTTATGGCTGTCGTTGTTATTTAACTGTTTCAAAGTCTATCTGAGTATGAATTTTGAAAATTGAACAAACTTTTTACTTCATTTATTATTCCTCTCTGCTAAATCGTGACTATCGAATGATGACTGCAGTTAGGTATTTGGATTTTTCATTGACTATTCGATCATTTCATATTGATACTCTGTACGTTGCTAATTCTGACTGCTTTCGTATATATCTCATAACTGAATAAAATTCAGAAGCTAATTGCGATCGATTCCGCTTTCAACAGATAATGAATAATTTTAGTTACGAGCTTGCTCGTACCAAACGATGCAAGTGTTATATGCCAGCAGGCATTCAGACGACTCAGATTCGCGGCTTTTGTTACTCTACTCTTAGCGGGTACCGCACTTCCCCCATATGAATCACGAAGGAACGTTTTCTGAAGTTTTTCTTGTGCTTGATGAATGCATCGTGCAATCCTGGATGCAAAATTGTGTTGAATGCAGATGACAAGACCTATCAAGCGTCACTGAATAATTTTGGAACGCCATCGCCGTATAACGTATTGAGCCCATTGTGTCTCCTGTCAGTCATTTGAGATTCCCTTTTCTCTACCTAAATGAGACCTGCTAATCCTGCACAGTTATTCAATCAGCAGACAGCGAATCCAAATATCAAATTGTTTACACTTTTAAGATGAATTTTATTTCTGACATAATCGATAGATTCATTGCTTATTAAAGCACATCTTTATCATAGAGTCAGATTAATATTAAAGAGAAAAATGTTTCATGTCAACGAACGGACGAGTCATGGTGCAACAGTTTTGTTTTTCAAATCATTTTTGAGTAATCCTAGTATAATTGCATTATTGCACTATCACCAGTGTACACACAACAATTTCTGTCGTGATTGTTGCATTCACATCGAAAGCATATGGTAAAGTAAGAATATAACATAATGCTGACACAGATGACAAAGATCGCGATAGAACATCAAATGATTTCGAGCGATAGAATGAACGAGTAATCGAATATAAATAGGAACTGAATTGAAGATATTTTTGAAAAATGACATGTTATGAAGACAACATGTTAGTTATTGACTTGCTATAAAGATAGCATTGATGCGACGATCGTTTTCACTGAACGTCACTACTCATAATTGTTGTTCGTAAACAACGGTGAGTCCACATCGCAACGATTACTGCACAGTGTTGACTGCAACGAAACATGATTATTAGCCACTTTTGACCTCTTCGCGATATGCTCGTAAACACTTACTGATCGATGAATTTAAGATATGCTAGGAGTATTGCATCTAATTCGACACTTTTGAGGATTTGCATCTTCAGAAAGTATAATTGAAAGTAATCAAAAAGCTGGAGATACATTGCAACAGATACCGTGACGGACGAGTTATTATACATCCAACAAGCAATATTACTCGACGATTCACTTGCGTATTGATTGTTCCATTGCGACATTAACGACGTCGACTGCACGTTTTCATCTGTAACTTAAATTAGACAGATTATAGCAATATTGCCAGTAATGCAATCGCAATCAATCTTGAATGAGAAGATCTCGAAACAGTTTCAAAAGTTATCGTTTCCTGGATATATCACAATTTCTAGAAATAACGAAATACATGGGTGGGTCAGTAAAAACTAACGCCGAAAATAGTTCTGTTCGATACTAATAATAATAATAATGCTAATGAACATAATGATAAATACTCGAAGATATACGCATTTTAAAAGTGGGTGAATATGGATGAAAGGCAACCTCAATTTGTTTTATTTTATTCCATCATTACTACTACCTACTAAATCATCCGTCACTGCCACTGACATTACTGTTATTACTTATTATTACTGAACATTCCCCAGAACATCATCCATAAATCGCATCAATGAGGGTAACTTTGCGTTCACATTTACTTAATAACGTTAACTATGCAATGCCTAATTTCCCTAGAACACGTTCATCACATTCAATACCCTTCAGCTTCGAATTAGCAGATGGTAACATCAAAAGTTTACTCGATTCATTCTGCAAAGGTCTGTTCTCTTTATCAATGTGTTGCATCGTTGTTGTTGTTAACATATCCGGCCATAGTTGTGCAAACGAATCGTTACTGGTTTCTTGTTGTTGTAATGCAAACATAAGTTGCTGGTAATCAGTTGGTATTGACTGAGTCAGTAAGTGATCATCACAACTTAAATCACTGTCATCATTCGATAACAATTGTGTTTTAGATGAAGAAATATCAGGGAGTATATTGCCATAAGTTCGATATTGATAGGTTGATAAGGCTGGAGAAGGATTCAGAGCTGTTGACTGATCAAACGAATTGTCTTCAATCGCATCAACTTTTTTCAAATGAACACTCTCATCGTTCCGTACACTACTGGTAGTGGTATTGCTGATGGACGTATTCGAGAGTAATTCTTGAATCATTGCGATCAACTGAGAATGATTCGAAGAGTCGTAATCTGATTGAGGTGATAGCATAAACGCCGACAGATCGAGTTGGAGAGTTGGCGAGATGGATAGACGCGGCTCGTTGGTGGGACCGAGTGCACTCCACATCAAACGATAGCGATTACCACGTCGAAGTTGCGGCGCCATTACTCCGTTTGGCAAACACAACGGCGATTCGTTCGATAATACCGTCGTTGGCATTATTTCCTCTCTGAAATATCGCTCCAAACTTGAATTTCATGGCTGCATCCAAAATGCAAGAAGGTAAGGAACAGTTTGTGTGGACTGATTGGGCAACGACGTCTAATGAAAACTAACGAGTTGAATTGAAACTTTCAAATTATAAACTGCATTAACAATTGACTTCTATTGTTGTAAATTTCGAAGGGAATGAATCAGTGATCGTTCTAAAAGATGAATAAAATGAACTGAGGTGAAACAAACTCAGGGATCGATTCTCTTCTTATATGAACAACTGTAACAATCGTTCGTCCGTATTTGTCTGTTTCAGGCTTGTCGACAATATTCCACGGTAAATGCTCATCTGTTAATATATAGAGTGGACGATAACATTCTCTTCGTTTACCGTCTATCACCAAATGTCGACCAAAATTTTTCGCCCAATATTTTATCTGCAGCAGACGAAAGATCGTACAAGTGAAAAAACACTGTTCACAATAACTAATTCACCACTAATCCTTAAGCTTGCATTAAAGTGAGCAAAGAATGAGGATACTTTAAAATAATTTTAAGGATTACAATTTCTTGCGCAAAACTGTAATTATGAATGCCCTCGTTACTGCTGATATCCAATGTACGCAACATCGGTGAACTTTGCACTATACGTACCAAAGAATCCGGTGAAACGTTCGTTCCTTCGGCCAAGAAGAGCTGTAAATTCGTTGAGAATTTGACGAATATGATTAGCTGTTTAAGCGATTTTGAACTTTGCAACAAATCTGTGATCGTAAACAACGATCAAAAACATTGATGTAATCTGAACAGGCATTTGTTCAACCTTGACAAGTCGCTGCCCTGCTGCAATACGTTCAACACCTGGTCCAATATCACGCTTTGTAATGCCATCCAAATTTAGACAAGACAATTTCGGCATCTTCGCTAATCGATACAGACCATGTCTACAATCATAAACTCATTTGATTTTATTTCTATAATGTTCAGAAATATGAATGCATGAACGATATTGATGGCGATCGATCAGGAAAGTTGGGTTTTGAAAACGATCAACTCAGAATGTAACATGAATGAATCAATGAATTATGAAGTAAATAATCGAGAAGAATAAATTTACATTGATAGATTGAAACAAAATGCAAGTGACAAGGAAGTGATCGTTTTCGCAGCTGCTGAATTTTCATCAGAAATGAGGATCAAGAAACGATCCGTAACTGCAGCTAAACCTTCAGTGCAAAGAGTACGAAGTTTACGTAATCTGGCTAGTGTACCAAGTCCTGCACCAGTTAATTCTGCAATTCACACAATTTTATCACCTTAACGTTTTTTCTGTATATTAAACTTTGAAACTTCTTTGAAAATGCAATATTTATTGCATTTTCAAGGAAGTTTCAAAGATTCAGTTTATAAATTTCATGGTTAATGTTATCGTACCCACTCTTTGAATTTCACTAGAAACACAATACGAAGGAAATCGTGAACTGTTAAAGGGACGGATCATTCGTAATAAATGGGTTGTTTTACCAACCTTCATAGATAGTTTCCGGATGCGATACGAGTGAGAGATCCGTTAAATTGGTTAGATTTTTCACTATATCCTGCAAACAACTACCTATCATGATCTTGAAAGGAATCAGTCACACTTTTTGTTAATTTCGGAAATTTTTGCGACAGTTGATGAATGAAGAATCCCATGGAGATGAAATCGATCGAATAAAAAATTCTTGCTTGGACAGAATTAGCGGTGAAGTGGAGTAGAACCAACTCACAGCGATAATTTTATCACTAAGGATAAGCAACTGGCTGAGATGTAACGATCTGAGTTTATGAAGACGATTCGTAATGTGATGAAAAGTCGTTTGACTGAGACGGTAACACATCTCTAGCACCAACCGTTGCATGCCTCTTGGTGCATACTGCAAGCAAATATTCACTTGTTCGTTTACTGCACAGCAAATGAAAAGTTATACGATCGACCAAAACAGAAAAGCATTAATAAAACCTATTTGATTAGATAAGAACATCGAACCTGAAGAGAATGTCCTCTGATGAACTGAGCATCGATTCGAAGATTCACCAAATGCGGGCAGCTTTTGAATATCTGAAATTTTAATGGATGAAAATAAACTTCCCTACGCATAGTTGGACATTCTTTTAATAGCAGTTATTATGCTAGATCGCACTAATTATGGATAAGGTAAGATTCGATGCTGTGAATAAGATAGATTATATATGAGACGAATCAGTTAGCGACTGCACCAACATCAATAAGATCCGCATCGCGGAGTTTATGATGATCGCAAAAGAGGATATCCAACGAGCGTAAATTCCAACACAGACTCGTCACATTTTTGATGCTTAATCGCCACTTCCATTGAGATGACTGCAATATTCGTATCAGTAAACAATTTGCAAGTGATCTTTAAACGATCTCATTCCAGCACACACCGTTTGATCGGTGTTTTTCAAAAATTGTGTTTAATCGGAGCGATAAGTTTGTACTGAATAAGTTGAGTGATAAAAAGTTGAAACGTAGAAAAAACCATAAGAGCTGAACGGTAGAGATCGAAGTTGGCATAATGCAACTGTGAACCGTATTGACTAATGAATGATTCTAATCGATCATCAGAAAGCACATCGAGATTATCCTAAAATATGCATTTTGTTGAATACACGCCGATATCTGCAAGAAATTGTTCTTCGTCAATGAATAAACTACGATGAAATTTCAGCAGATCTAACGGAACCAAACTGAAAATTGAAATAAACTCGAAAGTATTCTGATAGCTAGGAAACGAACACGATAGAATGAAACAGAATTGATGGACTTGAAAACAAGTCGATGCAACCTCCGTTCAAGAACGGATATATGGCTAACACGTTCTCGGATCGGTATCATTGATAATATTCGTATCAATACTGCATCAGACAAAACATTAATGTAGCACAGTCTGAAATATTCGCTCAAACTGCGTTAACCGAATTTAATGGCACAATTATTACACTGAATAAAAAATTAAATCCAGATCGTTCAATCAATTCATACAAAATCTGTAAAGAGACATAAGAGCTACAAAGATTCAACTGGTTTATTAAGATGAAAGCAAGTGCTAAACTGAGAAAATACAATAAAAAGCTCACGGTTTTGGCAACTGGCTGACAGTCGTTGCAAAGCCATATTTGAGGATGATTTGCTGAATAAGATCTAAATTTGTTGAACTGATATCATCTGCCAGAGAGTCAGTTAGAACGGATAGCTGATACTGATTTATTTGTGATGAGGTTAGTGAATGTGCAGTCGACTGTTCAACACAATTATGCACGCTCATTTCCATCATGAAATTAAGAAAATATTTATAACTTAAGATGCGTTTTGTCGTTTTCAAGATTGACGAAGAGATTTTGAATGTGCCATTCAGCGTTTAACTTTAATAGAATTGAGAAAAAACTCGTTTTATTACGAGTTGAAAGATGCCAAATCTATTAGACAATTTTGTAATTTCGCCTCCAACTATATGATCTTAATCAGATTTCGAATTCAAAAGTTACGCAAGTACGGTCCAATCAGTTATGGTAAAGTGCCCCGTCAACCAATTTGCTGGCTCGGACAAACCTGGCGCATATGACCACGACTGCTTAACGCCCTATGAACAAAAAATGGTGCTTTGCAATTAGTGAAATGACAAAACAGTTTATGAAAGCAGTTAGGAATTAATTGTGCCTGAAATTTATAGGACGAGATTGCTTGATTTCCATATCATCACTTGTCACATACATTTGGAATATGATTACTTTTAAATGCAGTCATAATAAATTAATTCTGAAAATCCGTTTTTAAAAAATTTTCGCGCATTTTCTATAACAACAACGGTCAGCTGACAGCTCGCCAAGTACGAACGGAGTGCCAGTTCGCCAAGTGACGGAACTCGCATTCTTGTTTGGTGGATATTAAGAAATGTGGATTTCTTAGCCATTGAACGGAAATAAATCCGAGCAATTTATGTATCGTTTTGTAGTGCAGATCAATGAGGATGAAACTTCATGTATAGGGTGGACAGCAATGAAGATCTGCTCGAGATTTCCTATTTGGCGTGAAGTATAAAAGCTTATGAAATAATTCAAACTATTATCTACACGAAAAATTCGCAACCAAGATATTCACCATTTTGTAATCTGTCTTCATGAAATCCGAACTTGAATTATTGATTTGGCAAGTACAGAGGTTTTGGGCTACTCTCCCATATGCCCATTTATTTCTAGGGAGAGGGACTCAGAAAGAGCCCGAAAATACATTCCGATTGATCGATTGAACACTTGTCCAACGATCGTTCAGAGTAGTTGTTTGGAACAGCCATCAGTAGTGAATCAGTAATCTTTCGTTATCAGTAATAAACGATTAATGTAACCGAGCAG